TGGAGTCGCGGTGGCCGGTGACTGACCTCCAACTGTCAACCGCACCACGTCACGTCGCCAGCACGTCAGCGCGCAGTAGGCGGCCCGACGCCACGCGTTCGGCGCGCTGACCGGTGGCTGGGGTGGGGGGGGGGGGGGGTGCGCTAGCGCTCAGCGCCCCTGGGTGGGGCTCACTGACCCGGCCCCCGGTGTGATTGCCAGCTACGAGGAGAACCAGGAGCGACGCAGCGTGACTGTGCCGCTCGAGCGCCCGGCGCCGGGCACCGCCGACTACCAGGTGCTCTTCAAGTTCACGTGTATGAACACGTGCGTCGGTGGCATCAACCGCCGCCGATTGATGGTGGTGTTTACGCTGGAGGAGATCGAGTGAGTGGGACAGGCATTGGCGGCGTGGCGGCCCCGTGTCCGCGAGGAACACGGGGCCGGCCATGTCTGTGTCTGGTTTTGTTGTGCACCTCAGTCCTGGATTCGTGAGCCAACCCTCAGCAAAGCACTCCAGGAGTTTTGCGCTCATGTGCTCTGTGCGGCCATGTTGCGAGATAGGAGGGGAGCGGAACTGATGGCGTAATGCAGTAAAGTTTTGCATCGAAGCTGGAGGATGGCGTCAAAAAGGTTCGTGACGTTTGCACTGTTTCCTGGACAGCGAAGTGGTCCGGGTGTTATAGTCTCGTCTTCTGTCGAGATAAATGTCTGTATGGCGTAAGTGATCCGTTGTGTTCCTCTCCATGGCGGCGTTAGCGCAGCTCCATTCACTGCGCCCGTAGTCGGCCACGCGTTTCTGACGCGCCCGAAGCAATCGTTCCACCCCACGTTTTTCGCGTTAGTAGCGACTGGTGCCTGAGCGTATTCGGCGTGAACCGGTGACCCACCGTCCGCGCGTGGCCGTCGGACTGCGTGCCGGCGCTCACCGGACCGCTGTCCTCGCAGCTCGGGCGTCGCGCTGGGCCGCCAGGCGATAGAGGTCAAGGTGTGCCGGTGCCCGCATCGCGACTGGCGCGCCGACGAGAAGCGCCGCGGCCAGCAGTTGAAGGTGCCGGTGAAGAGGCGCCGCGAGCCGTCGCCGGGGCCCGGCGGCCAGCGCGGCCGCTGGATGGTCGAGGTGAGCGCGGCCGGGCGGCCTGGGCGGCGGCGTCGCCGGGGCCCGGCGGCCAGCGCGGCCGCTGGATGGTCGAGGTGAGCGCGGCCGGGCGGCCTGGGCGGCGGCGTCGCCGGGGCCCGGCGGCCAGCGCGGCCGCTGGATGGTCGAGGTGAGCGCGGCCGGGCGGCCTGGGCGGCGGCGTCGCCGGGGCCCGGCGGCCAGCGCGGCCGCTGGATGGTCGAGGTGAGCGCGGCCGGGCGGCCTGGGCGGCGGCGTCGCCGGGGCCCGGCGGCCACCGGCCGCTGGATGGTCGAGGTGACGCGGCCGGGCGGCCTGGGCGGCGGCGGCGTCGGGGCCGGGGCGCCCCAGCCAGCGGCCCGCGCGGCAGCGCTGGAACGGCCGCTGGGCGAGCAGGGAACGGCTGATTTGGGAGACCGTGCACTGCGTGGTTCCAGCCGGCTGCTCTGGTGCTGCGGGCTGGCATGTGCTCCGCTGGCGGTCTACTACATCACTTGACCGGTGTTGTATTCACGACTGCAGGAGCTGCGAGGGTTGGATGGCCGGCCGCTGGCGTGTGGACGCTGGCGCCGCTGACCGACGCCTCCGTGCCCGCAGGCCCGCAGCGAGGCCATGTACAACTACTTGGTGGCGGTGCGCGACAACCTGGAGCAGTACGACCGCGACCGCGCTCCGGCTGCCGAGCACGACCCGGTCGGCGACGGCACGCCCGTCACTCTGCGCCGCCAGCCCACCGCGCCCGTCAGAGCCGATCTGGAGTAGGAGCCGCGGGACTGGCGGCGTCACTGTGGCGGCGGAGGGGATGGGAAGGCCTCGGCTCACAGAGATTGAAGCCAGCTCCGCGAGCTCCGTTCGGTGGTGTGATTCGAGAGTGGACATTCTGCGTGCGAATGGGCTGTGGCGATACCCGCGTCTGTAGGCATTTGGAGGGATTCCGCAGGGCGTGCAAGGGCGTGCCTGCGCTATTTTGGCCATAACTCCCTGCATGTGTTATATGACTGCATTTGCATCAGTTTTGTAGATTAGGTTCGTTTGTTCTGCGATTCCAGGATGTCGACATCCTTGATAACGACCGAGTTCGCATGTGCATCGTTGTGTCTGTAGTGTTAACGCAGCAGTCGAAGAAGCGTCATCTGATGGAGATTATTCGGCTGCTTCGAATACGAGGATGACCGAGGAGGCTCTGGGCGATAGTTTTTCTTTATTAGGTGGCCGCCGCGGGCGGCGGCTGTTCGTACTGACTTTGTCATGAATGCGCTTTGTTCAATGGACGGATTCCGTATGGGATTTTTATTCTTGTCTCTTAGTTGCGACATCACGCGCGACGCTTGACCCAGTTGGCCTCAGCAGAGTTCGGTTGCATTTAGTCAATTATCTTCACTTCGCGTGAACAGCTAACTTACTCTAATGTTTTGATATTCAGCGCTATGGCGGCTGCGCCACACTCGAAGCAGTAGCAGAATCTGTTCATCGTTGAGAAATGATCCCATCGCCTGTTGTTACCATCGCCCAAATCCAGAATGAACACCATATTGTGAGCGTGACGTATTTCGACGAACAGTGAAAATCGCGCCTCAGTCCCTGCTGTGCGTCAGAGCTTCGCTGGGCGCGTGGCAAAGCTTCGCTGGGCGCGTGGCAGAGCTTCGCTGGGCGTGCGACAGAGCTTCGCTGGGCGTGCGGCAGAGCCTCACTGGGCGTGCGACAGCCTCGCTGAGCATACGGCGGATCCTCGCTCGCTATCTCTGAAACATATGCTAGAGCCAGGCCGAAAGCAGTATCGGGAGGCTGCCGTAGAAATGCAACAGAACAGCGTAAGAGAACACCGGTGCAGCTGACCTCTCGTGGATGAAACCAGGTCAACTGAGCACCGTGGCAAGCCCACACATCTTCTGGCTTGAGGGGCTTCACCGATTAATTCAGCGATGAGTTCCAATTTCTCTAAAAACACGCCAAACGTTCAAATATTGCACGGGAATATGTAAAATGACGTATTTTTCGAAACATCATGTGACGTTCGAGGTCGTACAGAAGATCAAAGAACGGGAAGGTCATTAGAAGATCGAATATACGGTCAAACACTATGTCACCAAAAATTCACCGGCTTATTGAACTTTTCAAGCATCAGAATTAATATTCACCACCAAGGGAGGCGCCGGCCGTCAAAAACTCCTGAACTTTTAAGGTCACATTTTAATATAAAACTCAGGCTTCAAAAGAAGCGGGATTCCAAGTTACAAAAAAAAATCACTGGCCGATTTCGGCCTTTAGGTACTAGTATAATCACTAGTGCATGGACTAGCGTCATTCAAACAGTTATAAACTATCCAGATCCCCTTTCAATGTGAAGTTCATGCCCAAAGAACGGGGGGCCTCACATCAGGAGAAAAGCTTATTGGTTAATTGAAAATTTTCAAGCATCGCAATATTCAAGAGCGCAGGCACGAATTTGATGTCAGGGATGATCAGGCCTGTCCTCGGTTCAGGGACCTTTGACAAGAGACCGTGTGATCTTTAGTTGGAGTAATTCTGCTCACGCTAGCTGATTGTGTTCGGTGCCTGTCGCGCGTAAAATGCTCACATTGGTGATTTCTCTTCTTCTAAAAGGTAATATGAATTACTTGAGGAAGTCCGGCGAAGGTACTTATTTGTACCTCACTTTGCACGAACAAATTGTACATAAATTGCCTTCTTTGAGACATACAACACACAGTGAGGAATCATGAACGTCTCATGCATTGATTATCATCACACCTTCAAAATATCTTACTAACAATATTTCGCTTGCGTCAAATTTTGAGATTGGCTAGGTCAAAATACCTGTTGACCTTTGGGCTAAAAAAGTCAAACTCCAGATTGGCATCCGAGGCCTCCTTATGCAGCCCCTTTAACCTCTAAATGCCTGTTCGAAGCAAAATTTCACTGATGTTCATCTCAGGTCACCCCGGTCGGAAAAAAATCGTTGATAAGAGCCACAAGTATCTCGGAGATGGATGGCTTCGTTTACAAGGCGTGTGTAAAGAGACCTAGGGGCATGTGTCAAAAACATATTCCAGTGAAACCTCAGGATTAGTTACGTCTAATAACGACACCGGGTAGTGCCACTGTATTGCCGTCAAGACATTATAAGGATATCAATTTTGATCATTCTTGCGTCCAAATTGCGCTGTCTACGCTTTGTAGCAGCATAACGCCCCTTCCCTGCAATCGCGACCACTGTCGAACCACCGTGCGCAACTCTTCTGGTGTTCATAAAAGAACAATTGTGATTGGCCCAGCGGACACCAGCCTGTTGCGGAGATGTGCATTGGCTGAAGTTTGAACTAGTGCTCACATGGATTATGTAATATGTAATATATACCTCCCAAAGCCAAATGTGCCTCGAAAAGAGACCTTGTGGCAGACGCCATAGGGGGCAAGCAAAGCCATAGCACAAGGTTTCGTTGAATTCGCCAAATGATAGCTTTGTGCTTGCATGTCTTTGTGTCTAAAAACTGTTTCAAACTTTCGTAGCAGTTATTACTCAAACGTCTGGAAACGCAAGGCAACTAAAATTCATTTCGTTCATGGTGGTGAACATGGAGTGAAATGACATTTCTCCCGCAGGGTTGCGTGGTTCAAAGCAAAATTGTGAGCTATTCAGGAGGATTTGGAGAAAACGCGCATTACTGCCCCATCACAGGCGTCTGATGCAACAATGAGTGAAATTAAAAACGTGGCATATTCCCTTTTACCTTACATTATCGTATCCGCTTGAACGATTCCACTGGCATGTCTTCGCTGACAGCCATGGCCTGACTTTGACCTGCCATAGGTCAGCGACCTGACCATGTTATCTAATTTCCATGCCTAGAGACCCGTTAGTCAATTGTCTTCAGCTATGCAAAGTTCGGCGCGGTGTAGCGGCATCAAAACCTCGTGGTTAATGTAGCCGGATACTTATTTTCCCATAGACACATGCTGTTCATGTATATAGCTGTGAAACTACCAACACTAGAAAGGCTACGCCGCACCGATCATAAATTATCTTGGAAAACCCTCGGAAGGGTAAGAGACTAAATTGATCCCCGTCCAGAGCGCGTGTTGATACGAACTAGCCTCGTGGAAGTCCTATTAATACCACACGCATTTCCTACAACACAATTACAATAAACTCATCCTCATCGGTGTTTTTACGACCCATTTTTAGCATCTAATGAAAACGTTTGCTTTAAGCCTAAAGTTCACACAGGTTATTCGTAAATGTCACTATTGATGCCATGACAAAACGATAGGTTAACAAATTTGGTACAACACCAAAGTGAGGCCGAAATGCTTCGTGTTCCACTTATGGTCACCAAAAATATTAACTTTTGTGAAGCAGCACTAGTTTGCAAAAGATGGGGGTGCGCACTTTAACCTAATTCAAGGACAAAATAAATTGGGTAGGGTTTATGATTCGGCACGAGGGCTGGCTTCCCAACCCGGTTAGCCCAAGCCTAAACCCGGTATCCGGAATGTAGCCGGATGTTTGCTTCCCCATACAGACGTATATTTCTTGTATATAGCGAGGCCCCCTACCAACACTAGAACTATCCCTCCTCTAGTAACATAAAGTCGTGGTTGCCATCACCACCAAATGCAAAACGTAACAGCTGAGCGGATAAACGGTACAATAATCTTCACACACCTAGGGCCATAAGACACAATGGTTTGTGTGGTTAAGGTCAAAAGCTTTGGAATACGGGTTGACCTAAGCCCCCACGCTGGCCTTGTATCCTCGTTCCCCACAACCAGATGCGTACCGTCTCCCATGACCGTTGACGGTATTATCTATAATTACCAATTTCCCATAGATTAGCGCCTTCGGCGCTTAAGGCGCCGCACCGGCAGTGGATGCGCCTTTAAAGGGGCGCATTCACTTCATGGGGAAGGCGCCTTTCGACCGCCTTCACTGCCGGTCGAAAGAGGCGCGTGTGTCCAGTGTCCCGTGGATCCCCCTTGTGTAACCACTATAACTTAATGCTTGAATTAATACTTTTGTAGCCTACACAAAATTATAAACAAATTCTTGCCTTTCATCAAAATTAAGTGGGCTAAATCCGTGTGAAAAAAAATGGGGGTTGGGTAGGCTGTCGGGCCTTGGGTTCAGCCCCCCCCCCCCAATAATAACAAAAAATGACACCCCCTGGTTTAACGGTTTAAAAGAGAAGCCAATGTGCATGTGCTAAAGATGCGTCATTAATCTCAGTTCATACGCATGGAAGTGCGTTTTATGTAAATCTACTTTAAGTTTTATGTAAATAACTGTAAAGGATGTATATGTTCAGAAAATTGACCAATGGATCCATATACATGCTCATTGTTATGATCAAACACCGTAAGTTTGGAAATCGCCGCTGCGGCCAGCCAGCAAGCATTGAGTGAGATGCCGTCGGGTTGTCAACGGAATAAGAAAATCCAGTAATCGGAGAGGTGCCGCGCACAAGATGATTACAGCTATACAGCAGCGCTGCCAAATCCACATCGTCGCGTTCTTCACGCGCGATTAGAAGCATTTTTGCAGGCACCTGTGCTCCGGCAATCACTCTGCGGGAAGGCCGTCCGCCGGTAGCCGCGGGCCTCAAGTGGACAATGTGAGAATTGGCCCGGGAAGATATATGTAACCGTGCGCTGAGAATGAGCGCGATGCACCTACCAAAGCATACATCTTACTCGAAGTTTCTTTTGTCCTTGAATTAGATTTAAGTGCCCACCTCTATCCCCTGCAAAATAGTACTGCTTCATTGAAGTTAAGATTTTCGGTGACATGCAAGTGGTGCACGAAAAATTTGGGCCCCAATTTGGCGCCGAACTACATTTGTCAACTCAACTTTTCCTACGGCATCAATAACGACATTTACCAATACTTGTGTGGAATTCAGGCTAGAAACAAACTGCTGTCTTTAGATGTGCTAAAATACGCCGTAAAAACAACGATGAGGATGAGATTACTGTAATTGTGATGAAGAAAATGTGTGTTACTAAAAGGATTTCCACACGCCTAGTTTGAAATAGCCATCTTGAAGACCATGCGACACAGTTCACAGCCTTACCCTTCTTAAGACCTAAACCCCCAATGTTTCTGGGCGGCACGCCCTGAATGATGTGCAGCCTATTCGGGGAGGTTATTTCAAGTTCACCCAGGCATCCATGACCCCATAATAGCGTCATTGAACCTCTGCTATTTCATTAGCTATGCAGCCACCAAAGCCAACAAAAATATAGTTTTGGAGTCGTTCATATACGACGTTCGTGAGCCCGATTTCCAGATATTGTTGCGGTTCATAAGCTCTCAATCAATGTTGTGTAAGGTACGATTACTTAATCAAACAATGGCGTATTGAGGAATATATTTACTTAACAAAGAAACTGTACTGTCTAAAGCAGTCTCTTCCCCTTAAAGATATACCAATAGTTATAAGTGAGCTTACTTCATCATATCTGATGCTCGCTTTGATACCTTTAGGGGTGGATCCGTCTTTAAAACCGAAGATAAACTTGGCTCACTTTAGTAT